AAATTCAGCGTCAATCATTTTACAACAATCTCCCTTATGTACAATGCATGTTTTTAAAAAAGACAGTTAAGGGTAAAACTAAACTGTTTTACAGGGTATTTGTGGTTCAAATTAAGGTCTAATGTCAACTCTAAAGATAACCATTGTTTTTAAACATGCTGGTATGTAATTTAAATGATTAAAGATGTGCAGAGTGGAACTATTTGTTGATTGCTCAACTGTGTATTTCGTCACCATTGACAACGCATCATCTTTAACGTGAATATGCTGTTCAATTAATGTTGTTTTCATGACGGCGTATCTTTTTTTTTAATTTCAAATAATGAAAGTGAATGTAATAGAACGTAAATATAAGGTAAGAAATGCATCTTTTTAACATTTATGAGGGTATGAATCACAGTTCCATTCAAACATATCCTCCATGAAGCTCTAACGCGAATCATAGAATATGTTTGAGCGGACCTGTGTTGCATACACTCATAAATGTTAAAAAGATGCATTTCCAATCTTAAATCAAACATACCAGAAAAAAATCAAACCTGACGATTAGTGATTAGCTTCATTATTTACATAATTATTATGATAAATTCCGGTTTGTCATAAATTTTAAAGAAATATATGTTTGGATAAGGGGATGTGACACGTCATGATTTATTCAAATATTGAAATTTATTACCAATGTTACTGTAGTTCTGAAATCCACACGCCAAATCTAAAGAAGAATAGTCAGTAAAACACTTGAAATAGCATTGGTTCCCCGTAAACGGCAACAGGCTTATACAAATATATCTCATAAAGGAAAGGAATCTTTTATTGATTTTAAAACAAAAACACCACGAAGTACAGTGGTTTAAAAACGACTTAACCAAAAGGTTGCAAACAAATATAGCATCAAAGAATATCGCTATCAGTTTGGAGTTTAAAATGCTGGGGTACCAAGGGATCTGTTCTTAGACCACTACGGTTTTACTTAAGTTGTCATTGTCATGATAATATTTTTACAAATGTTAGGTTCTTGTGCGGATGAGACATTTTTGTCGGTATTTATAATCAGAAATTCACCCCGGACAGCCCAAGCGCTCACCAATAACCTTGTGAATGTTTATAGATAAGCAGGTATCTGGGATATACATTTAAACCTAAAGAAAACCAAATAAATTGTATTTCCTAGAACAAATAACCACATACACCTTCCAATATCATTCCAAAACAGTCATATAGCATATAAAACATCACATACACATTCAGGACTAACCTTTACTGACGATGCAGTAAGGAAACGGCACATACAGGCTTTATATAAAAAGGCTTACAACAAGTTACATTTTCTAAGTTATTGTTTTAACGAAGAGGTAGATCGAGAAAACGTATTTAAATACATCTTGCATTATTCTCAAAACGATTAGTTTACAGATCTAGTATGAGATACTTGCAGCCATCGAATCTACACAACTAGCAGTTGTGGAACTATTACTGGTATACGCTCTGGGCTGGGACTTCACACGAACACACTTTACAAAGAGCTAGGGTGTCGAACTCTGTTTGTAAGAAGAAATAAACATATAACGATGTTTAAGATAATGCATAGACTATTACTGCAATATTTACAAATCCCTTTACTAAGAACCTAAATGACAATTCGTACTCTTTAAGACATTACTAGACCTTTAACCCACCTTTATGACGAACTAATTTATTGACAGCTTTTTAGCTTATATCCGAGCGTATCTTTCAGGCTCGTAACACATCCTAATAGCAACGACCGCTGTATTCACTGTATGCACGTCGCCCTTTGGTCAATGTTTACTTACAGTTTGTTTTATAGTGTCATTTTATAAAATCAAAGATAACTCTATGTGAGTTATATGTGTGAGGTAGTATGAGTTCCATTATGTTAATACGAAGGAGTGGCATGTATATGAACAGTATATGTCCTTGCTTTATTATAATATTTAATCAATATTTTGTTCCAAGTTTGATCTTATATTCTAGCAGTTCACGGAAAGAAATTGTTTAGGCTTATCCTGTTATTAAATCAATCTTGCCTTTTCAACTTTAACAAAACATGTTGAAATTCTGCTGATGTCAACTTTTTTTGTTCATCGAACGACCTTCCCGGGAAAATCAACCAGAAATATCATGTTAATTTGACAATACAGTTTGTATGTTGGTAAACATGTCAGTGCGGTGTATCTTCCCACTTTGTTTCAAACTATTTTCATAATACTTAACAGTATGACATTTTACAGCAAAATTGAAGTTTCTCCAATTTAAAAATGGTGGTGCAATGGCAATTTTAATGACAATGCAAGTGTTTTAAAAGCGAAAAGTTCACGTTGTGTGAGATTAACATTTGTTTCAAAATGGTCTCTTGATTGGTCATTTTCTAACTTGTAGAAAAGTTCTGCAAACGATCCATTTCTAATTTAAAAAAAAAAATATATGACGCATGCCGTTTAAATTAATCATAATTTGTAACGTTTAATAAATTCCTGATAAAGTAGATCAAAACGAGATTTGACGTGATTCGAAACCTCGGTAGAGCGAATCCTTAAAATTTCGGATTAAGTGATGTGCACGCAGTCTCCTCTGGCTATCGACGAGTCGGAGTGGATTCGACATGATATGATGGATTTCTATCTCATGCACTAAATAGAATTGATAAACCATAGCATTAGATTTTGGAGATCACCAATCAATGTTAAAAGATAAAAAAGATAACACTGGTAAAACGTCCGTCTGTACTTAAAAGCTTGTGTACAAGATACCTCAAGATCCACTAAGTTTAATTTTACTTTTATTTTAGATAACAATTAATTTTAAAATGTGTATATATAAGAAATCATATGTAATTTATTTAGAATATTATTTAAGATATATAAGAAGAAAAATGAGATTAATTAAAGGACTATTGTTTGTACAAGGACAGAACTAAGGAATTCTTAAGCGTGGCAATTCATATTGATAGTGAGTTAAAATGTTTTAAACTGAGAAAAACTATTTTTGTACAATTGTATTATATTGCTATATTTACCTTTATACACATTTTTTGGTTACTACGTGTAACAAATAGGGTTGAAAATAAGGTAATTAATGAGAGGGATAATGGAACCATATAATAACTTGCAAGATGGTGGGTACTGTATAAATAAAGAGCAGTGCTTTGGTCAAAAGTACATCTGAGGTCAAATCTAACAATTTGGGTAACACCGTGCATTGATTGACGGGGGACTGTTGAATTGTAGATAGTGCTATAGGGCTATTCATCTAGTGGCGACCAGGTCAGTCGAGGAAGACGTAGGGATAGAAACGAGAGTGAGAAGTCCCCAAAACAGACAGGTGACTGTCATTGTCATAAGATACATCTAGCATTGTTGTTTTGAAAGGGGAAAGTCAACTTAGAAGATATATTAGAAGTAAGATTACATTGCTGCACGTGCCTCATTACTTTTGCACAATAGGTGGGACCTACTCAACAATAGTTAATTTTGTATAGATTGTTAAAAGTACTTGGGGAAGGTTAATAAAGTAGTCTGGAAGTAGGGAGTGAGAGTTCAGAGTTGAGAGACGGGGATTTGAGGTTCAGGAATATGAGCCTATTGAGAGAGAGGCTAGGGAAGGCCTCGTCCGGAGAGACCGGGTTCGAATTCAGCACGTAGTATGCTTTAGAACTATGTATTTGATGTTGTAACTCTATATCATCTGTGTGCAGATAGATTTGCTGTCGTATTCCAGAACAGTGTTAAAAAGGACATTTGTTAATTTAAGAGAGATCTTACAAAGAGGGATTACTCGAGGTATGGTCCCTAACTGTCGCGACCACAAAGCGAAGTGAATAAAAACAATCGGCCCACATGTGTTGTCCAGCGTGTTATGTAACATACACAGTATCATTTCCGTATCAATACCATGAACGTTATCCTTCCCATTGGGCTGTACATCTTGCGACGTCGTCAAAGTTATTCTGGTCCGGCCTAAATAAAATTCTAGTTAAAGTATGAATATCTGTTCTTACCAAAGGTTGTTAATTTGGAAGTGTTTATAGGCACCTCTCCTTTTTCAATATATTTTTCTAAGGTGTCAAACGAATTTATTCATCATTATTTATTTTGTTGACCTAAGTAATAATGATAAATATTTAGTGAGGGAAATGGCTATATGTTGAAGTAAAATGTTTACTTTGGTTGGCTTACTTCATCTACAATAAAAACAATATAAAATCAAAAGCGTGCTACCTTTAATTCCTTTGTATTGCTAGTTATTTAATTTATTCCTCATTTAAATGGTTGTTCAAATGTTCGTTTAGTGTTGCGTATCAGCTCGAATACTGCTCCGCAACAGGAAAAAGAAGTCTAACGACAAAGGTCTATACAATCGTGTATGATGACGTAGGGAACCAGCATATTGTCATTAGTATAAGGTCAAACAGGAACAAAGTACATAGTGTAACGTCAGCATACAAGAAAATATCTACATTAGTCACCAAATTTATCCTTGCAGTCGCAAATATTGCTTCGCGGAGGGTGGCATTCCAATCCTGACAATCGAACCACATGAAGAGATCAATTGTTTCAAACCAATAATGACATCTATCTTGAATCTCGAAACTACCAAGAAGTAGGAAGAACTTCGGGATTTCAATCTCGAATAATTACCTGTTTATAATAAAATAACGCAAAAAGAATGAGGAGGAGGAGGAGGAGGAGGAGGAGGAGGAGGAGGAGGAGGAGATCTACATATGCAACAATTGAAAATCAGGTCGTTATAAAGAAACATTACGTTCATTAAATTTACTGTATAGCATTCTAGCGTAAGTCTGCAAATTGAATAAGGCTCTACATTATATAAGTATTATATAAGTGTATAATCTGTATATGTATAATATATATATATCTATAAATATTGTATTTAATTTAAGTACATGTATGTTACATGTACATTTACTTGTATATTAATGTATACCCTCTTTCCAGTCTCGGTTATATCTTTAATCACAAACCCTAAGTAGATAGATCACAGTCCCGGCTATACTCATACTCTCTGAGTAAATTTATCTCATGTTCTTTGTTTTTGCGACGTTGTCTCTGGATCTTCAAAAATTCTTCAGTAGGTGGCGCTACAATCGCTATTATCCCCATTAACACAGCCCAAGCCTGAGTTAAACCTATCCAAATCTTAAATTGAGTTTCATCAATGACGGGGAAGCTCAACATGATGCCAGGTATGATGAAAGTGAATAAGACAGTGATGCTGCCCCCGCTTATGTATGCGATATTTTTCTCTCGACGGAAGGCAGCTGCCATTTGATCAAATGACGGTTTCTTGTCGTAGTGCTGCCCCTTGAGTTCCTCTCGATAATTCTGTTCCCATGGATTTAGTGGGTTATCGATATCGTATATTTTCTGCCATTCTGCATCAGCGTCGGCTTTTGTTTTTATTTTATGCGTAAGTGCAGATACTACTATACATACAATCAACCCGACGCCCAAACTGCAACAGCTTCCAGCCAGAATCGGGTATTCCTGTGACGTGTTCACAACAAAGTTACTGAGACCTCCGTCATACCTGGTCGCTGATATCAGTGTGGCAGCTATACCAGCCAGCAAACCGGATATACTGCCTACAAAGATAATCTAACTCTGTATTTGTGGCTACTAATGTTGTCAACATATGGGCTTTTCATTTCCCATATTAATCATTAATTAATAATTAAACGAACGAAGACCACGGAATAGTATTTTTAACGTAATTACTGCCAATACTATTTCACTTTGTGAAAACATAGATTTTCGGGAAGTTCTTGCTATTCCTAATTACATCTTTAAACAAAAACCTGACAATATCATAAAGATCTTTGGCTGTTAGAAACATAATCAATAATATTATGAGAAGTTCTTTTTACACAACCAATACAATTTTCTATGTGACGTTTCGATGACTAGTACGATATGTACACTGTCACCTTCATCAGACAAATGACCAATAAATTAGCGTATGCACACAAAGGTGTAAACTGTGTATGGAAATGTCCATAAAATCGATGTCGATTTCGGCTACGCTGGAAACTTATGTACAATAGTTGTTATATATGTACCGAAATGACTCAATCAAGCTACGTTTTGTTAACACTTGGTCATAGATGTGCGAGGGTCTTTGAGCCCCCTCGTCTCGATTTAGAACTTGACCACTGCGGCGTATCCAGATGGCTTCCTTTACCTGCCGCTTGAACAGTCAATCACATGTTTTTCTGTGTGGTATGGTCTGTGATTGTCGATTTATTTATGTGGGACTCCGACTGTTTTCTTTCAGATCTGGTGAATTTCCTACCTTTTTGGGTTTCTGTGTCTTTCCGTTGTTCACCAAGGTGGACCCCAAATCGCCTTCCAGTCTCTTCAATATACGACGCGTTGCAGTTTTTGCATCCGATTTTGTATACGCATTCTGCGACGTTTTCTTTAGGTGTTTTATCCTTAGGGTGTACTAGGATATTGCGAAGCGTCTTGTGGGGCTTCATGGCTGTTGCTATGCCATGACCTCGATATATCCTCTGGATGGTTTCGGATATACCCTGTATATACGGGATGACCATTTGACCTTTGGTTTTGTTCTTATCCTTTATTGGCCTTTTCTTGTTCTTCTCCTTACTTTTACACTGGTTTTTTTACCCGTTTTCGGGCCCATTCCGGATATGCACATGTTCTCATTGTCCTAGCGATGTGATTCTGCTCTTGTGTTTTGTCCTGTTGTTCTGCGACTATTGTATCACATCTGTTGAGCAATGTGCATATGACACCTAACTTCTGGTGTAAGGGATGGTGAGGTTTGAAGTTCAGGTATTGGGTCCCTATGGGTCTTTTTTTCTATGGACCATTACCATCACGGTTCCGTCTTCTTTCTATACAAGTAAGGTGTAGAGGAAGGGCATTGTGCCATTGGGTTCTTCCTCACATGTAAGATTGATGTTGTTAGTGGCATCTATAGGGTTGATATGTGTGTGGTCGAATCTGTCTGTGACCCCTTCTTGATTATCTCAAGTATGTCGTCAACATGAAGGTGACAGTGTACATATCTTACTAGTCCTCGAAACGTCACATAGAAAATTATATTGGTTTTGTAAAAAGAACTTCTCATAATTTCAAACTTACCAATCTGAAGAAAATGTTTAGAAAAAATCAATAATAACTGCACATTAATCACATATAAACTGCCATTTATATCATGACTAATGACTTTCATTCAGTTAGTATGTATTTTACCTGTAATTATGTATTCTACCTGTAACTATGTATTCTACCTGTAATTATGCCTTCTGATGTTTCCTTTTCCCACATAACTGCTAGGATTATTGCCGGAAAGGCGGGGATGATGACGATAGCACCGACAAAGAATATCCAATTCAAGTCTATACCGCTGGAAAATATCATCAGTCCGACGGGTATTATAGCGATGGCCACCCATATAATACACCAGTTCTTGAAGTCGATGAGGTGGTCTTGGTACATCCTGTACGGGCCATGAACCGGGCACTTATATATAGATATGCTACCGTCAGTCGATTTATTGACTTCTCTTCTAAGTATATCCTCAACACATTGTTTACAACTTGTGACGATTGGGCACTGACAAACATCAATTTCGTTAGTGCTGGTGTCGGTATCCGGCTTGGAGGCCTTGCCACAAAGCACACACTGGGCTTGTTCCAGGCTTCTCCTATGGTTATCAACAAATGTATGATGACGTTAAAATTACGCAGCCTTCTTAATCTAAATGTTTAACGAGTACAAAACCTGGAAGTGGGAGTAAATATATATAGCTCAATTTCGTTGCAAAGATAATTATTTATATTGATCTGCAGAAAAATGTATATCTTTTCCCACTTTGTATGAAATTTAGAATGAATAAGAATGCTTTTCCATGCAACATTATCCACGTCACAAACATCGTGTTTGTGGTTGCTCGATATGGAGGCAACATCAAAATGAAGCTAGAAAAGCGCTCAGCAGAATTATTAAAGATGGATTCACATCGACGTTTGATACTATTTGAAGAGCATTAAGTGTCCTTTTCAATTAAACAATTAGTTGTTATTTATTAGCTTAATTGATATCAAATCGATTTGTTATCACTACTTACTTTTTCTTTATTTTTTCTTTTAAATCTATTTTTGATTAGGCTTTGTCTTTTTGTATTAATGAAGGAGTAATACATTCGTACATATTCTATTTTTGATATTGCATTTTTATCACATGGGTCGAAAGACAATGTTTGCAAATAGCGTAAACAAGAAAAAGTATACCGTATATATAGACAGACAGACAGACAGACAGATAGACAGACAGACATTCTTTATTTTCTCTTTTACAAGAGATTAAAGTTAATCAATACATACATATATGTTCATCTTTTTGATATATTCCAAATAAAATACTCGCTACAGTTACTTATATCTTAGAAAGAGATTACGTGTAATTACTCCAATTTTCTCTGTCCTTTAAATCATTATAAGTTTTTGTTTAAATCTAAATTGTACCAATACATTTGCAGCGTAAGATATAAATGTCTACCAAGTTTCCTTTTAGTGTCAAAGCATTAATCACAACCGAATTTAAAAATACAATGCTGTCAAATATTATTAATAGGATTCTTTGCAAAGTAGCAAATCAGGAAAATTACATAATAAATTCGTACAGATTGTTGTTATTGTATACAAATCGGAAAAAAAACATACCTGAAGGACCGGAAGTAGGTCTGGTAACTGTCCCAAACAATGATGTAGGACCTAACACAAGGGACGTTTGTACGTCGGGTAACTCCTAACTATTGATGCAGGACTTACCGCAAGGGACGTATGTCGATCTGGTAACTGTCCTAAACAATGATGTAGGACCTAACACAAGGGACGTTTGTGCGTCGGGTGACTCCTAAATATTGATGCAGGACTTATAGCAAGAGACTGGTATAGGTCTGGAAAATGTCCTATACAATGACGGAGGACTTAACGGAAGGGATGGATGTAGATCTGATAGATGTCGTAAACAATAGCAGATGACTTACCGGAAGGGATGGATCTGGTAGATGTCGTAAAAAATGACAGATGACTTACCGGAAGGGATGGATGTAGATCTGGTAGATGTCGTAAACAATGATGCCGGACTTACTGCAAGGGAAGGATGAACGTCGGGTAACTTCCTAACTATTGATGCAGGACTTACCGGAAGGGACGTATGTTGATCTGGTACCTGTCCTAAATATTGATGCAAGACTTACCGGAAGGGACGGATATAGGTCTGGTAGATGTCGTAAACAAGGATGGACGAGACGGCCATCACCTCTCCTGACCCGGTCGACATAAGTGCCATAAAAACCATACTCAAGATCATGATCCCTCCGGCTGGTCCTAGAACTTTCTCGGCGATCAAGGGTGACACGAGCCCTGTTGGTAATAAGATTATGCGTCAAAAACAATTCATTTCAAAGATATCGTAGCGTGAACCACTAGCACTCGAATACACAGAATGCCAATAGTTCCTGGACTTGTATAGTAAATTGTTGTAAGGTAATGAAAGAAGGTTATATTTTGCTCAATGCAAGTCAGGTTTTGTTTTTTAGCAACTGGTTATTTTATACTTCTATTGTTTTTTCACAGAGGGTGAGTTGAGAAAATTAAATTGACAGAGGATATCATTGTACAACAGCAGTACAAATTTGCATGTATAGCAAACTTCTTCTTCAACAGAAATGAGTATTTAAGTTATTCAAACCCTTTAATTGGACCAATATCCTGAATATTGGCGAAATTTTTAAGAATTCAGTGGGGGATGGCAGATAAGCTTGTGTTATCAGATTTAACGATGAAAATATATTGTTTATGTGTGGTCTTATTAGGATAAACAATGATCATGATTAACATTCAACAGGGGAATGTATTATTAACCACTAGTGTGATGTATAAATGAGATTTTAAGAAAGGATATGTTTTACGTAACAAATACCAATATATGGCTTGATGTAAGGTGGTGAGCACCGAGTACAATCTACATGAATTGCAAAACAGTTTACAATTTTGACCTATGGCAATTTTCTCTCATATGTCACCGAATACACTAAAAACACTTACATTTAGTTTATCCCTTCATGTGTATATTTGTTTTACGTTTAGATACTTATACTTTAGTCTGCATTCTTTATATGATGAGCTGACATGACACCCAGACCTTGTACCGGAAAGGTATTTCTCGAATTCCATACAGCGGAGTATTATCTAAATATCGGTCATTAATCCTGATAGCAGACAGCAATGAAATGACAAAGTCTGGTATCTACCTTGATCGATTTGGCCAGCAGTCAGTAGATGGGTTCTGTTTTCGGCACTTAGAGTTAGGTAAGCCAATCCAGTGGTATTCCCCAAAGTGGAGGGGATCGCTATCCACATTAGACCAGCAAAGATAAATCCCAAAACTCCCTGCATTGGTTTGGCAGCGATTCTATTTTGCCACGCTGATTGATTACAGTAGGTCAAAGAACATGCAAGAATAAACCCTACTATACCATACACTATACCACCAGCAGATCGGAAAGACATTAAATTGTTGTCGCTCGATCCCTCAACACAAGAAACGATATCATACATTTTGGAAATGTCACCTAAATTAGGAAATGCACTGGTATTAGTACAGAGAACTGTTGTAAAGAAAACAGTTAATACTATAAACGTAAAGGACAAGTTGAAATAACACACATAAAATGTTGTCCCGATTCCACCAATCAACGAGTAGGATCCAAACAAGGTTGCCATAACCAGTAAGGTGTATTCTTCTGATACGTTTACGGTCACTGATTGCATTGTTGTTTTCCCCGCCAGCAATAAGCCTGTTATGACCACCAAATTGGTGACGAGTGCAAAGCAGCAAAACACTAAATGTGCCTTCTTACCAAATCTAGCATTAATAACCTGTGAGGGGAGAACAAGTAAACAAACCGTTAAAAGTGTGTCAAGTACAGCAGAATCAAAACGACTGTGATTTGTTTTATCTTATTGTATTAACCTCTTTATGTATAAGATATTTATTTATTTATTTCATCTTATTTATTTTATTTATTTTCAAATGCTTATTGCAAATGTTGATAGATTCTAGTTAAAAAGGAAACAATAAGTGTATTCCTTAACATCGTTTTCCAAGCAAAAACACGCCAACCAGAACTTTTCTGACATCCATAACATCAGAAAAAGTAGTTTCGACAATATTTATAATGCATTTACAACATAAACATTTTCAACATTTTGTGAAGCATTGCCTGAAAATATACTGTATCGTAATACTTGGTGTTTTATAAAACTGGTTGACTTGTACTCGTTAGCACGTTATCTGTACCTGAAGGTAGGTTTTAGCCCCAGGAGCTCGTGTCTTGAAATGCACAGAGAAAATCGGAAACAGGAACATATTGATTACCACTCCGACAGAATACCAGAATGTCCCTGAAACTCCCAGCTGAAAAAAAAAGATCTACAAGATTATTTAGTTCATTATGTGTACTGAACTGGTTATATTTTAGGCAAGCAATAAATCTCATGAGAAGTTGATGCACGTTTTCGACGAATGAACATCATGAACACAATTTTTATGCGGCACTTTGCACTTTATAGATACTGTATAAAAAAAACACCTGTAAATTTGTGTATTTGCATACCCATCACTAAATTATTCAATTAAACCAGAATTATATTTTACGTCAAAATGAAACGATATATGTTAAATGAATGGTTTCCTTACTCTGATGAAAGCTGTATTGTACTGCGTTTATCGTCAATTTAAGTTTAGAATTAATTACAAGTACAGCTTGCCTTCGTTGCCAATGTTGCACACTGAAGAATATCGGCGGGCCAGAACGTTTGAGCTGCTACTGTAACGGCCGTCAGACTGATGCTGACATTACCTCCGGCGTCAAACGTCGTGTCCAAATTGTGTTCATCACGGAAGATGTGCTTCCTTATTGCGTTATGGATCAGGGCGAGAATGACGGAGAACCCGCCAAACCCTAGGAGTATCAGTAAAGCTGACTCGTGTTTCTCTAGAACTGTATTCGGCCTAAGTATAGAAAATAAACAAAAACTCATATCAAAGCACACATGAGTAGTAAGGTTGAACCTTGTGAAGAGACCAACATCTGTAGCAAAACTAAATCTCGGGAACAAACAGTCTCAAAAAAATATCCACTTCTCCTTTGAAGATCATTGGACAAACCTCTTATCTATAGCTGGCATGCAAAATATTTGTTCGTGAAAATACTTAAGGGAAACCTAGACATAGATTTGCCAGAGTGTTCATTTATGACGTTTTTTATAAGACTAAACCTTGGTAAGTTTTATATTCGATTAATAAGCGAATTGTTATTTTCTGTACCTCTGCCATAAAGTTGTAAATACAGCTTTGTTAAATCAAGTCTGAAAAGACAACAATAACGTGCAGAACTTTTGTGGAAAAAACCCCCAATAAAGAATGAAATAGAAAAAAAATCAACAACAATTCTATGCACATAAAAATTCAACGGGGCTTGACCGGAATTCGAGCACTAAACTGGATTGCTAAACATCACGTTTACGGCCCAAACTACTTTATCAATGGCCCAACTGTGCTACGGTTATATCCAAAACGAGTTGATGGGACGTAACTGTATATACGCCAAATACAGTGTAGTGGGCCAGCTGCAGGGATCCTTAAACCAGGTAATACATCTCACCGTACTGTATGTACAACTAATTGTACAATGTGTGGGAATCATTTTAGATACAGTACCATCTGGAATAACCAATAGTACACATAAGTCTATGTATGAGGTCACAGATATATGCAGTGAGATATGTGAGATAAAAGATCTATATTAATGAAGCAAAAGGTTTTGTACCGAAGGATACTTTAAACAAAAACGTGAAGCTCACGAGAGAAAGCGTATATCAGCGAAGTATATGATGTGGGAAAAAGATAAATAAATGGTGGATAGATATTAAAAATGTAATCTTTAATGATAATAAGTTGTATGTATTGTATAGGTTTGCATATATTTTTTTTCAAATGTATAGTTCTATTTTTCCCATTAATGTTTGTATACGTCTATCATATACCCGGGACCTCTTGTTCCACACATAGTGTGGCTGAGTGTAAATACACATCTTTAAATCCTTTTATTGCTATCTGTCATGTCAGATTTGTGTTGTAAGCTTTAATAGCATACATTCTTTTCTGCAAAACCTTGATCATTAGATCAATTATTTATATATATTTAGATATACAAATGTTGTATACTATTATTATTATTATTATCCTGTATGGTGTTTTTTTAAATATCCATTCTATATTACTATACCAAAAACATAAAAAGTCAAAAATCTGACATTTAAAATGAAATGTGAAATACTAAAAACAAAACCAAAGAGGATCTGAGAAGAAATTGAGAATACAAAAACATGTAATACAAACTCTATTGTCTCGCTGGGATCCTCCAGAATGATCGGACAGTCCGAAATATTGACCGTGGCTCTCACGACTTGCAACATACATGTCACTCCACAAAGATACGACAGCATCATCTTAGTCATATTGCTTCAATTCACAAAATTGTAAAATTAGATTAGTCCTTCTGTAGAATTTGTTATTATTATAGTACAACATCAGTTAGTCTACTGTATCTATCATTACCTATTATAGTACAACATCAGCTAGTCTACTGTATCTACCATTACCTATTATAGTAAAACATCAGCAAGTCTACTGTATCTATCATTACCTATTATAATACAACATCAGCTAGTCTACTGTATCTATCATTACTTAGTATGATACAACATCAGTAAGTCTACTGTATCTACCTTTACCTATTATAGTACAACATTTGTTAGTCTACTGTATAAAACATTACCTAGTATTATACAGCATCAGTTAGTCTACTGTATCTATCATTACCTATTAAAGTACAACAATTGTTAGTCTACTGTATCTAGCATTACCTATTATGATAAAACACCGTTAGTCTACTGTTTCTATCATTAACTAGTATGATACAACATCAGTTAGTCTACTGTTTCTAGCATTACCTATTATAGTACAACATCAGTTAGTCTACTGTATCTATAATTACCTAGTATGATACAACATCATTTAGTCTACTGTTTCTAGCATTACCTATTATGGTACAACATCAGTTAGTCTACTGTATCTACCATTACCTATCATAGTAAAACATCAGATAGTCTACTGTATATAGCATTACCTATTATGGTACAACATCAGTTAGTCTACTGTATCTAGCATAACCTAGTATGCTACAGCATTAGTTTGTCTACTGTATCTAGCATTACTTAGTATGATACAACATCAGTTAGTCTACTGTATCTACCTTAACCTATTATATTACAACATTTGTTAGTCTACTGTATGTAGCATTACCTAGTATGATACAACATCAGTTAGTCTACTGTATCTAGCATAACCTAGTATGATACAGCATTACTTTGTCTACTGTATCTAGCATTACTTAGTATGATACAACATCAGTTAGTCTACTGTATCTAACATTACCTATTATGATACAACATCAGTAAGTCTACTGTTTTTATCACTACAACCTATTATAGTAAAACATCATTTAGTCTACTGTATCTATCGTTACCTATTATTGTACAACATCAGTTAGTCTACTGTATCTATCGTTACCTATTATAGCAAAACATCAGATAGTCTACTGTATATAGCATTACCTATTATGGTACAACATCAGTTAGTCTACTGTATCTAGCATTACCTAGTATGATACAGCATTAGTTTGTCTACTGTATCTAGCATTACTTAGTATGATACAACATCAGTTAGTCTACTGTATCTACCTT